CAATCACTTCCTAACTCATATAGTGAGTTCGTAAGAGAGTACTATATGATGAACCGCGACGTGACACTTATAGATCTCACCTACATGCTTATTGCTGCTGAATCAACAATGGTTTGGCGCAATAGAAAAGCAAAGTTGATTGGTGAATCTGCCTTCAAGACCTCTATGGATATAGACAATGGCAATGAAAGACATGCAATGATCGAAAAGTTTGATCATAAGAGAAAGGCGATGTCTGAAGTAGTTCCATGTGTTGTTCCAAAAGAGTCAATTTGCTTTTATTGCCAAGAGAAGGGGCATTGGAGACGAAGTTGCCCTATTTACCTAAGAGATCTAAGAGATGGGAGAGTCAAAAGTATGACTACGCTTTAGGTAAGAATCCACTATCTAACTCCATTAAGTTCCTATTCATTGATTCTTAATACATGATGTGATAAGATTGCATTTGAATGTTTTGAAGGATCGGTGAAAAGAAAGGAAGCTTGATAAGAGAGCAAGATGAATCTAATCACAAGAGATGGATCTTGATCGCATGGACTTGAAGATTGGATTTTGAGCTTAGATAGTTATGATAGAGTTGTTAGAAATTTTCCTTTTACATAGTTTTCAATAGATTTTGCATTGTAAGGACAAATGTTTTTCCGCTGCTTTTATAAATAAAAAAATTTTGTTTGACTTATTTATTTGTTTACTTCCTTGCAATGAAATCGTTATGAAAATTGATGTTTGCATATTTCTACAACGAATGGATATGATTCTTAGTTATGTTATTTATGGAAATGTCAAGAATTTACCAAATAGGGAGAGTTTCTCATCGCCCAAGTTTCAATTGGACAGAAACTTGGAATCATGCAACGTGGATGCACGATGAATGAGAAATTCGTATTTGGAAATTAGACTAATTCATTGACAAAGTGTCAAGTGAAGGACTAGGAGATCGAGTACACAAAGTTGTGTGTTGATCAAGTTCACCATAAGAGTAACAAATATATTCGTCATGATTTACTAAAGGTTTAGTAAATATGATTATACTTACAAGATTAAGTGTAATTCTGAATTGATTAAAGGGTTTAGATCAATAGTAAACGAATAAGAAGAATCAAGTAGGCAGAAGATAAAGTTTCTCCATTCTAAGAAGAAGGGAGAGTAGCTTTTATGCTTTATGATAGGTCTTAATGATTAAGAACCATATCTCAATTGATCCTCTAAGTGAGTCTTGGTACAATTGTATGTCCAAGAAGAGGAATCAAAGATTGAAGAAATGGTCAAATCAAGAAGTCAATCATACTTCGTTCCAAAACAAGTCTTAAAGTCAAGATTGTGACATTGAGTGAATAGTATTAAGAAGGTTTATAACATTCATCAATTGTGGAAAGTTGTGATGTCTTGGATAAGACAAAGACCAACTAAGACCAATTATGAAGTGTTTTGTTTTGATAAAAGCTACACTAACTCTTGAATATTTGTTTGTCAAGAAATGTTTATTGACAAAAAGAATCTTATATGTCAAGGAGTCAGTGGGAGTCTTAATGGTCTTGAAAAGTTTCAAGAACAAATCAAATAAACCTTATCGATCATCACTAGCACACGAGTTGAGGTTTACAACCTATCGTGAAGACATTATTTTGTTTCTGTGCCAATCCAATCGAGTTAATTATGCATGTGAGTCCTATGAGTTCTCATTTGAATGCATAAAAGGCAAGGACCTTGATCAATGGAAAGTACATTGATAGGAAAAGGTGAGCTGCTTAACTACTTGGAAGACGTGGTGGGCAGCTGTGCTACCATAAGGCAAGAAATCAAGATTAAGAAAGTTCGATCCATATGAGTTTGAATTTGTCGTAAACTTTGGTTTTTAACAAATTCACATGGATAGGAACACATACACCGTTTAAATCTAAGTGTCATAAGATTTCCTCCTTCATGAAAATGATTGTGAGAAATGCTTTCACTAAGAAAGATTTTAAAAGATAGTGATTGTAAAATTGCATTCTCGAATTCGATCATGGTTACGGCATCCCTTTCCATAATTTGAATTGTGAGGTTTGGCAATTAGTCTTAATTGTTAAGACACACATATGAACTATCTAAGGCAAAAGTGTATAAGTTCAAGAAGCCTTGATAAAAGATTATCAAAGCACTAAGTATTAGAAACATGAACTTAAGAAATTCAATAAGTATTGTTTTTCTGAAAGTTAAGATGTTTATGAATACATGTCGAAGCTAGTGGGAGCATAAGTGTTATGTTTTATAATAATCATCATGATAGTGGGAGCATAAATGTTATGATTGTATGATTATTAAGGCACGTATTGCATAGTTGGCAATATTAATTATAGAAAACAAGAGTCATACTTTGCAAAGTTGTAAGAGTTGAAAGGTTGTTTTGCTATAATTAAGGGAGAGAATATTATGCTTCATTTCAAATCTAAAGGATTAGGTTGTGAAATGTTAATAAATTTAGTCAAAGGTACATAGTGTGTTCTTAAAATTTCGATTATGATTACGGCATTCCTCTTCACAATTCGAATTTTGAGAACATAGAAATAAAACATTGTGCGTCGTGTCCCATACGCTTCGGGTATAGGATCGATTGCAAATGCTTTAATGTTTGACCATTCTAAAATTTTCCAAATGTCTAGCGCATTTAGAGGGAAAAGGGACTAGAATTGGTTTTGACTAAAATAATTAAACAACTATCAAAGGACAATCCAAAGTTCGACGAGGATTGGTCGCTTGTGAGTAGTTGGAAGTATAGTATTGGAAATTATGGAAATGTTTCCATATTGGATGGACAATATCGACATCATTACGAATAGATAAGATTCTATTAAGAAATTAGTTGTCATATGGAAAATATGGAAGCGTGTCCATATTGGGAAGTAAATATTGAAAATCTATGTCTAGATTAGAAACTTTTATGCAAAAGGATGTTCAAAGGAATGTACTTTGAGTGAGAGACATCATATCTAAGGAATTGTCTTGTAACAATCTCCGATAGAGGACTTTGTAATATCATTGGCAATAGTCTTTGAGACTTTGGTGCAGTGACATTACAAAAGGATCGTTGCATAAAGTGTTAGAATCTAGTATATTCTATAAGTAACAAGAATTTGATATTCTTACACTTAAGAAAATGGATTTGGAGTTGTAAATGAGAATGATTGGAAATGTGTTCAATTTGTCTATTTCACAAAAGTAAGAACCATAGGTAAACATTGTGTGCATGCTAGGAGCATGGGACAAGTGTAATGAATTCAAGTAAAAGTTGATTACCCGAAACGACAAATAATGAGTAATCGATATGGTGATAAATAAAACGTGTTTTGTTTATACTCAAAGGTTTGAGGCCATATGGGATTAGTATTATTCTTGTGTTTCACTTTGCATGTTTTGACTTCCAGAATAATTGAGTTTATTAAGAATAATCGAATTATTCAAACGGGCCACAGTCGTTCATATGTTGGAAGTAGATATGAATGAAGACTGTCGTGAATTGGTGTGTGGATTGTTTAGAAGAGTATTAGACATAAGCAAATGTTTGCTGCAACGTTCATGAGTGCTTATGAATATGATTTGAGCATTGGATTAAACCCACGCTCACTTGGATCATTCCATGAATTGTATCACGAGTGATTAGTGAGACGATAACATCTTATATTCTTGAAACTGAGATGTGTGAGTTGTATCTTGCGAATCGGTTGCACATTGATAATATGTAAACACACTAGTAACTTGGTGTTATAAAACATATTGTTGTGTGTAATTCGGTGAGTGAGTGCAAGCGAGCATTGTATCAAAGTTTATCCGTTCCTTTTATCCAAAGTAGGATAAAAGCGATATCTTTGGGCCCCTCGATGGTTTAGTGATGACATACGTAAATGCTCGGCCGGGCTAGGGCTAATTTGATTTGTTCAATTAGTCTGTCGTCATAAATCGGAAATCGAGAATAGTACAAAGAGAATGATTAGAAATCATATCTCATACGATATCTAGAATGGAGGAATATATGATCCCTTATCTAAGGACACGCGTATCTGATATGATCAGAGTTGACAGCGGCTTTGGAAAGCTACGATTGCAGATCAGGATCTGAAGTCATACGCAGAATAGTTGTTAGACTTATCCAAGTGGGAGACTGTTGGATTAGTGTCTAAGTCCATAACTATTTTGGTATGTACTTGACCCGATGGTGCATGGTCCTTTTGGGTTGCCTTCACCAAAGCAACTTGATTGGAGAAATGAATAAAGAGAGAAGGATAATATGATTTATTAATATGTTATAAGAATAATATATTAAAGGAGAAATCATATTTGTTTAATTAATATTGGTCAATAATTAATTAAGAATTAGTTTTGTGATCAAATGTAATTAATTAAACTAGAGGGGCTGATTTGTAATTATGTGATAGTTACAAAATAAGGTAAGGATTATCTTATTTATATGGTGGACGAATTTAAGGTTGGAAAGCCTTAGAATTCGAGTATGATAAGGATTCAAGGATTATCTTATTGGTTGCTTAATGGATAATCAACTAGATAAGGATAATGACTGAAACCCTATCTCTACACCTATATAAACACCCCTAGGGTCATGAATTCGTGTATCCCTTCCCAAGAGGTCCTAGATACGAATTCTAACCTCTCACCTCTCTCTTTATACCTTCTCCATTTGCTTATGGTGTTTGTGAGCCATTAGAGGAGTGACACTTGTGACTCTAAGCATTCCAAAGTCAATTCAAGGAGATTTGGGATTGTTATTGCTACATAACAATCAATGTAACACTATAAACTTATTCTCATGTTAATATGATTATATGTATGCTAGAATTAGGGTTTATAGTCTTGGATTCAAAGCATGTACAATAGAGAAACCTAGATCCAAGCATTAGGGTTTTTATGAGCACATAGGATGTCTTATGACCAAAACCCACCAAAAACATGATTGAGAAAAAAATGAGAGAAGAAAGCGAATAAAGTAGGTTTAAAGCTTGAAAGATATGAAAAGACAAAAATACCCCCAACGTGCTTGTCACATGGGGGTTTCTAACCACAAAACAGACAGAATGTTAAGTGAGGGACCAGACGTGTTATGGATTCTAACATTAGGCATCTTCCGAGTTAAAAATCTTGCTCATGGACTAAGCACATAGGTTCCCCAAAGCACAAGGACCATCTGTGTAATTTACCCTACTATAAATGAAAACAAAATTTCAACCACGACAAGGAAATGCAAAAAATTTAAGTTGAAGGGGCAAAAGGAATAAAAACTAAAAAGAAAGATAAAAAAAAACAATAAAATGTTCTCTTTTTCAGACCCAAATCTCTCCGGTCCTCTTTTCAACGTCACCAAGTCGATAAAATTCCCTACAAGCATTTTCCAATCGGTTTGATCAAGACATCAAACAAGAAATCGGTTTCTGGATTCCTTCGTTTTGGTTCAGGTAACCTTTAATTTTGTTATCATATCTCAGATTGTTATTTTTTGATGTAATTTCGGTTAATAATGAACAATCTGTAATTCTACCAACACGCAGGATTTCTGTTCAATTAAGTGCAATCGGAACACGGAGCTGTTTGGATTTCAAAAACTTTAGGTTTTAGGTAATTTCATCGGAGTTATTTCAGTATTTTGGGAACTTCAGCGAAATATGCAGAGCCAAATAGTTTGCAGTGGTTGTAGAAGCATTTTGTTATATCCGCGAGGAGCTTCAAATGTGTGTTGTGCATTATGCAACACGGTTACCTCCGTTCCCCCTCCAGGTACGATTTCTTGACTAATTCAAGTGTTTCATTTATGTTTTACTGGATAAAATAAGTGGAATTAGTGTTTACAAACTAGAAGAAGATTAGTTTATTAATTTCCTTTCTGTTGATTTCCACTTGCAATTAGTTATAATTGTTGGCAAATAATCGTGTTCCGATAGTCAGAATACAATCCCTCATTGCTGATTTTGTTTGAGAAAGTATAGATTTTTGACAATGGGGGGCTGTTAGTCATGTTGTGATTGTGCATATTCATGGTTTTGTGTAGTGGACTCGGATTAGTTTATGAACATGTAAAAACCATGGCGAGTAGAAGTTGAAGGTTAGTTGTAAGATGGTTAGAGTTCATGACTTAATCTTGTAAGCTACATATGAGTGTTTCTTTATGATTTAATGGAGAAAAAACTTTACACAGAAAGTCTGAAAAACAGAATTCCCCCTTTAAGTCATAAACTTTTACAAATATTTTCTAAACATTATTTATTCATAACACTTACCGATAAAAAAAAAAAAGAAACAGGGCCAGGTTTGTTTGATTTTGCCTGTGTAGGATTTGATTTTGATTGATTGCATTTGTTTTGACTTGTTATATTTATCATATTTTATCTACTCTAATGCTTTCCTTTTCAACAAGTCCCACAAAATTGTAACAAATTTCTTATTGGGATCATTATATAATATTTTCTGTTATCGATTAGAGTCTTATTTTGTTGCGTTTTTGGTAAAACACTTTCTTTATAGTTTAAACTTTAAACCATGATCATATTTTGGTCTGAATCCTTTCAGGGACAGAAATGGCACAACTGATATGTGGAGGTTGTCACACATTGCTAATGTATACCCGTGGTGCTACAAGTGTTAGATGCTCTTGTTGTCATATAGTGAATCTTGCACCAGGTATTCTTTAATGATTTCAAAACTGTAAAAATTACCATCTTACCCTTTTGAGTTAACGTGATGATGCCCAATGACCTCACTTATTGTTTATGTCTGATACTCAAAACTCTGGCCTATAATTCATTACGCATCAGGGGTAATACATGATTTAGGATTCTTGTAATTTGATGCTTAGTATATCAAAATCTAAAGAAAGTATTAGAGAATTTCATATTCTGAATTATTATTATTATTATTTTTTTTTTATCATTAATAGTTGCAAACCAGCTTGCCCAAGTCAATTGTGCAAATTGTCGGACAATGCTGATGTATCCATATGGAGCCCCATCTGTTAAATGTGCAGTTTGTCACTACATTACAAATGTCAATGTGAGTAGATTAAATATACGAGTTAAATGCAAGAAATAGCAATGTACTTTATATGTATATTTTTTTACTGTATTATAGCATTCTACTTTTGGAAAGTAGGATGCTATAACAAACAAAATCAATGAAAGTACAATGCTATTTGGAGTAAGAAAATAAATTATTCAACTTAAGAATCATTATAATTTATAAAACAAGAAAAAATTTTGAAAATTTTGGTTGCTTCAGATGAGCAATGGAAGGGTTCCCATTCCAATGCAACCACCAGGATCAATGCCCTCTACTTCAACAGTGAGTTCCTTGCTTTCTGGCTTTGTATATATTTTATATTTAATTTTTCAAGTGTTGTATGGATAAATGATGTTTAAAAAATAAACAAGGGCAAATTTGTAAATAGCTTATCTGGTTTATTTTAATATTTTCTTTATATATAAATTGTACAGGAAATGCCTCATTTTCATACTCAAACTGTTGTTGTGGAAAATCCCATGTCGGTTGATGAGAGTGGAAAACTGGTATCTTCTTATTCCTATTTTCCTTCTTTTTCTTTAGTTAAATGCAATAAGTAACAACGTACTTTCGTTTAATTTTTTTTTTCTTTTACATCATTATACTTTCAGATATTTCTTATTAGGACATTGTTCTTTGAAAAATGTACCCAATTAACTAATTAAGTGGTTGAAATTTGCTATAATTGGATAGATTTTTCAAAGTACAGTGTTGTAATAGGAGAAAAGAAATGGAAGTAGGATGCTACAATAAACAAATAACTTTGCAATTAACTTGTTTCCAATTGTACCCTTGTTTAAACTTAGTTTCGTATATCTATTTAGGTAAGCAATGTTGTGGTTGGGGTGACAACGGAGAAGAAACAAATAAGTTGAAATACTGGGAATGACCAATTATGCACTTTGGTCCCCTGAGTTTTCAATTAATGAACGAAAATGGCCTGATAGCATTTGAATTTGTATACCATTAGAAAGGAAAAAAGTGGCATCATATTAACACTTATTTTAATTGTGATTGTTAAGAAAGTTTAAGGGATTATTGATGTGTTGAGTTGAGAGTGGATATGGTTGATAGAAAGAGTATAGATTTTATGATGTGAGTTGTTTATGTGCTTGTAAATGATGTGAAAATGAGGTGTTTATTTTATGAATAATGTTACATTTGATATGTTCAATCCATGTAAAAATAATTTTAGAAAAATACATAGAATGACAATGTTTTGGAAATTTTGTGCAAAGGTGTTGTTTATTTACAACGTTTACCTACTTGGAATATGTAGGTGCTGTGCATGAATAAGATTATGCACTTAAAATATTTATAAATGATTTCATTGATTATGAAATAATAATATTTATGTTAGATTAAAACGTTAATATAAAACATTGTCATTATCTTCGTCCAAAATAAAATTTTATGATTTTTTTTTTTTTTTTTGTAAAATAATCAGTTTTACCGGAATAAATATGTTAAGATGTTTGCTAACTTCTTGTATGTATGGCGTTAACAATCCAACTGATAGGCTTTGATATATATATATATATATATATATATATATATATATATATATATATATATATATATATATATATATATATATATATATATATATATATATATATATATATATATCAGAATAGTCATCATATATTAAATATGTTAAGATGCATATGACATACCCACAAGATAATCTAAATAATTGTCGCTTTAACCATGTACAAGTTATTTCATTGAAGCCAACAATTTCTTTCTTGTCAAAGTCTATGACCTAAAACTTAAATTTAAAATCAGACAGACTGTCTAGTTAGTACTTCTATTTCTTCTTTTGCGAAACTTCCTATCGACCCATAGGGCAAGTATTGTTGTTACTTATACGACATAAAGTACCAAATAACAATGTTAAGTTCAATGTATTTTAAATGGAAGAACTCACTAAACATTTTCAATCATCTAAATTATACATCCGATGTTCTCACATTGAAAATACCATTGTTGCATTATCATGATGAAGAAATCTATAAGCATCAAAAATAAAGGTTCAAAGATCCAATTTGTCGAGGCAAATATGTAGTTATTGTGGGAACCATGTTCATGTATATATGCACTCACTATTTCATATTACATATACAACTAAAAAATTTGGTTGTTCTTGTCTATCTCAACCGCCAATAACATGGTGTCCTTGAAGTCACCCTATAAGTGTCACACATCTATCATGAACGCACACCTACAATAGTTGAGGAAGGCTAATAGCTACAAAATAATGAATATATAGTAACAGGAGATGTGAAAATATACTCAATAAATATATGAAATCATATAAAAAACAAGGATTATTGTACAACCAATCGAGCGGAACAAGAACTCAAATAAGTCTTCACTATTCATTTAAATGTATGCCACTATTCTAGGTTTATGCTTAGCCAAGTCGTAATAGTACAAAGGGAGTCTAGAAAACGATTCTTCTTGGTCCCATCACAAGTTTAAAAGTATGATGTTTCGAACGCCATGAATGTTTGTATAAAATAGTAATTTTATACTTTGAATTGAAATCTTGTTGCATGCCGATCCCATGGTATACTTTGATATAATTACTACCCAAAACATCGTTAATTAAATGGACCAATAATTTTTTTTTGCTTGTTGATGGTGTGGGTTCAATTGCATTGAAGAATAAGTGTGTTCATCAAGACATGTTCGAACATGGAACATTCTAGTATTCTCTAGCTTCTTTTTAAATGTTCGTAGATTTATGATTCTTTATGATGAGTTTTAGATGTGTGATGGAATATGTACATATATTGTGTCTTTATATGATGGTATAGCAGGCAGACCATATAATGGTGTTTTGTGTATGTGTAGTCATCATTCGGCCATTCGATTTATGATTCATATTTTCAAGGCCATATAGACTTATTCAGAAATATATTGGATCTCCATATGAAAGTAGATTGGTATCATCCATAAATAGAAATACTTCTTGATATTCATCATTATCGTCACACCCCCAAATCGGAACGACGGAAACGTTCGGGGGTGGATGACGTCGTGTACAATATCATAACAATTGAATAATAGTAATCAAAGCAACACAACCATCATATTGAAAATATATAATTTACATTATGTTCAAAACATTGTTTGTTTGACATCAAAATTATAACAAAAGCTAAGACGTAACGCTACTATGCTCCGTCTTCGTGACACTTGTGAGGGTACCTGTCTACTAATTTCCTGAGAATACAAGTGGTTTGAAAAAGTGTCAACATTTAAGTTGGTGAGTTCATAAGTATTTCGTATATAAAAGTATGTTCTTTGTCTATGTTTTAACTATTGAACATATAACTTTGAATTGCAAAACAAGAACCTTAAGGAGAGAGGCTATTTTCGAAAATAACAAATTAGGGTTTAGAGTTACATACCTTCAATTGTTATAACAAACAATTGCTAATCCTTTTGATCTTGATCTTCTTGGAAGCCTAGCACCACAATTGTAACGCCTCTAATGGAATCACACACAAGAGCTAGCAAGAAGGAAACTTGTGAGGAGAGAGGTTAGGATATGCAATTTTGACCAAGGGTTTCTTTAAGAGGAGTGCCAATTTTGGGAGCCAGGAGGCTCCTTATATAGCTGAGGTATCTAGGGTTTAAGGAAAACCCTAATTTCCCTTTGTTTAGGGCCTAAGCTTATCGAAAGGCCTTATCTAAGCCCCTTGGACGAAATCATTAGGGTTTCCCCTATAGATTTCATCCACCCCTTTCCAAGGAGGTTTTGGAACCTTCCACTCAGCTATTTGATAATTGCAAACTAGTCCCTGCACTTTATAATTAATACAATTAACCCTAAAATGAATTCCAATTAATTTCTGGCTAACTATTAATTAAACATTATGATTTCTAATTAATATATTAACCTTTTAACATATTAATAAATCATTTATATTAATTTATTAATCTTATAATAATCAACATTTCTCCTTTCATAATTTTCTTATCCATTTGCTAGGTTTGAGGGCAACTCAAAAGGACCATGCTGCTATCATTTCAAGTACATACAAATTATAGTTATGGGCTTAGACACCTAATCCAACACTTTGTTCCTTGAAAACGTAAGTATATTTATCTAGAAAATCCAATATTCTCTATTGTAAATGTATTGTAGTCTTAATACCTTAAGACCAAATTATATAAGTTTCTTATGCTTATAATCTGTAATTCAAAGTTCTAATTTATGTAAGTGATGTGACCCATAATGCTCCCTCCTATGATCACTTAAAGTATACAAGTTATATATAATCAAAATCGAACGGACAGACGAATAAGTAACTCAACCCTAAACCCACAACCTAACAAGGAACATGATCTAAGGCGGAAACACGCATTCTAATGCCTATACGATTTTTATTATATATAACCCTAACGTATACGCTAATTAATCATTGAGTAAATAATAATAGTCCTTTCAGAAATATAAGTCGTAGTGTACTAGGTAAATAGTATATTGTAGTTATATTAGTATGTAATACCTTTAAATGTATGTTTCTTGAAATGTAATTCATGTTGTACTGAGAAGTCGTGTAATGCAATTTTATTATTATGTAAAACTATTTGAAAGTATGTTTGCTCCGTAAACCAAATGTAAAGTGAATGTTCAAATGAAACTGTCTGAAAAATATATTACTCCGTAAATGTGTCGTTGTTTTCTCTATGTGAGTTCTTATAACTATACTGTGACTTGAACACGATGTTCTTCAGACACCGAAAATGTTAGTGACATTTATCACCGCAGACCTGCCCGTCCAATTGTAGCTAACAGTCAGGGTGTGGGATTGTCAGTCCCATATAAATTTATACACAAATATATCGCTCTCCCGACAAGAGACTCTAGTTATAAGTCAGGACTTTCGTTGGCACTTAGATAAGTACTTGAAAATGTCTCACAATTATTTGTTTCAACGAGTTTACGAGTAATGAACTGAAAACTTTTTTTAGTAAATGAAATATAATACCCTTTGGTAAATGAAATGTAATACCCTTTAGTAAATGAAATGTAATACCCTTTAGTAAACGAAATGTAACTTTTCCATAAAGATTTATAAGTGTATAATTATTGTAAAATGAACCATAGACTATACCTATTATAGTTTATAATGTATATTCTGCTGAAATGAAAACCGTTGTGTCTTAATATATTTTTACGTAATGTGTTTATAAGGTATTTAAAATATTATAAGCAATTAATATTTTTAAACACAAGATTTCTTGTGTTTTACTTGTATCCCCCCCCCCCCTAAAACTATGAAAAGTCGTGAAAACGTATGAGTATCAACTCACATTGGGTGTATGTTTGCGGTTAGGTAACAGTATAGAAACGGTAATCTTCGAGTTTAGAAAACACGGAGGATATCGTATCCTAATTGATTAAACACATAATAATGTGTGAATATGTGAACTAATAGTTAAAGTGTTGAATAAACACTTGATAAAAGAACTTACAGTGATCTTAAGGAAATAACATGAAGACTGAAGCTCCGGGGAAAGTTTGATGAAAGGTTGATATTTGAGAGAGAATTATGAATGTTTGCGTCTCTTTCTAACTGTGAATGAGAATTGGCTTTTATGTGTGTATTGTATATGAGAAAATAAAGGATAAGAGTGTAAGAGAAGTGACACTTACGTTGGTAAGTGAAACATATCACCTTGGGAACTTAATCAAGCTAAAATATCTAGATATTAAGGGTGTTTTCGGCCATAAAGTGGTTAGATTTCGGTCTAATATTTTCCCTATGAAGAGATTTCGGTAAGCACTTCCCTAAATGAAGTGATTTCGGTTTTGGTATCTTTAAAGAAAGGGATTTCGGCCTTGGTTCCACTCATTAAGGGGGTTTCGGCCTAGGCATGTTTTCTAGGAAGATGATTTCGATTCTAGCTTCCTAAAAGCTATTGATTTCGGTTCCTAAAGTATTCCAAGATTCTCTAAACTGAAATCCTTAAAGTAGTTTACAATTTCATGCTTTTAGACTTGTTATTTTGACTTGTACTAACTTATTTCAACATGGGCTTTCAACATACATATATATAACTTGTACAAGCATGGTTTTTAATTTATATATATATATATATATATATATATATATATATAAACATTCTTTCATATCTAATGGTGATTTAGTGTAACTAAGTTACATTGTGGTTTCACTTATACATGATTAAGATTTAGATTTTTATT